GATGCGTTGGCATCAGGGCCGATCTGAAGGAGGAAATTAAAAGCGAGCTCATTCGGCTACTCCATCGAAATTCATCGACCTTCGCCTGGTCGGTAGGCGATATGCCCGGAATTGACCCCGCGATATTGGGCCACAAGTTAAACGCCGATCCAACTTTTAAACCAATCAAACAAAAGAGAAGAAAGCTCAAATCCGAAAAAGCCAAGGCCGTCAATGACGAAGTTGAGCGCCTGTCGGCAGCAGGCTCAATCACCAAGGTCAAGTACCCTGAATGGCTTACCAACCCGGTGGTCGTAAAGAAGAAAAGTCGTAAATAGAGGATTTGCGTAGATTTTACCAACCTCAACAAAGCTTGTCCGAAAGACAGCTTCCCTCTGCCTCACATCGGCTGATTAGTTGAAGCAACAGCTGGTAATGAACTCTTCTCCTTTATGGACGCTTTCTCCGGCTACAATCAAATCGCAATGCACCCTGACGATCGAGAAAAGACATCGTTCATCACCGATCGAGGAACATACTGCTATAAGGTCATGCCTTTCAGGCTCAAGAACACGGGCGCAACCTACCAACGTTTGGTAAATCACATGTTCGCAGACCAACTGGGACGAACAATGGAGGTCTACATCGATGATATGTTGGTAAAATCTCTCACCGCTAGAGAGCACATCGATCACCTACAAACATGCTTCACTATTCTTAACCAATACAGAATGAAGCTCAATCCCGCCAAATGTACGTTCAGCGTAACATCTGGCGAGTTCCTCGACTACATCATGACCAAAAGGGACATTGAAGCCAACCCAAAGCAAATCGACGCATTAATCGACCTACCCTCTCCACGAAATATGCGCGAAGTTCAAAGGCTTACCGGCCGCATCGCGGCTCTCAAGAGGTTTATTTCGAGGTCGACAGATAAATGTCTCCCTTTTTATCAACTATTGTGCGGCAATAAACGCTTCGAGTGGGACAACTAATGCGAGCTCGCTTTTAAACAACTCAAGGACTATCTATCCTCGCCGCTAATACTCGCCAAGCCCGAGGTAGGAGAAACTCTATACCTATATATCGCCGTGTCAACCTCGGCTGTGAGCGACGTATTGGTAAAAGAAGACAGAGGCGAGCAAAACCCGATATTCTATGACAGTAAGACGCTGGATGATGCGGCAAAAAGATATCCGACGTTAGAGAAGCTTGCTCTCGCGGTAATCATGTCAGCGAGAAAATTGCGCCCGTATTTCCAGTCACACTCGATTGTAGTCCCTACAAACCAACCTCTGAGGACAATATTGCATAGCCTTAACCAATCCAGCTGCATAGCAAAGTGGGCAGTCGAGCTCACAGAATACAACATAGAGTATCGCAACAGAACGAGCGCCAAATCTCAGGTTGCCAACTTCCTGATCGAGATACCTCCCGAATTCGTAAAGACAGATATCCCAGAAGTAAGATGGTCGCTTTACGCCGACGGTTCTTCATCTTCGCGAGGAGCAGGCGTTGGCATACGCCTAGAATCACCAACATGGAAGTACTAGAACAATCCTTTCGCCTCGAGTTCTCGGCGTCGAACAACGAAGCCGAATACGAAGCCCTACTCACCGGACTCCGCCTAGCTCTAGGAATCGGGGTTAAGAAGATTGAAGCGTTTTGCGACTCCCAACTCGTCGTCAATCAATACAGCGGCGACTATGACACTAGGAATGACCGAATGGACATGTACCTTAAAGTCGTCAAGAAGCTCGCCGAATAATTCGATTCTTTCGCCATCACCAGAATCCCGAGGAGCGATAACACGTCAGCAGATGCTCTGGCGGCTCTCGCCTCGACATCAGAACCTAACCAACGCCGCGTCATCCCATTCGAATGCATCGATACACCACTCATCGAGCTTCCCAAAGGAGTATGCTCCATCAACGAACTCCAAGCTAGTAGCATCGATGCCAATGAGCTACCTCTCCCTGACGTCGTCGACGAACCCGCAGAGCAGGAACCCTCGATTGACGACTGGAGAATCGAAATATTGCTCTGCATTACGGATGGCCAAGTCCCACCCGATCGATGGGCTGCAAGACGCCTCAAAACGCGAAGTGCGAAGTACATCCAATCACACGGTAATCTCTATCGTTGGAGTTCATCAGGAGCCCTTCTAAATTGCCTTCACGGTGAGGAGACGCACGACGTTATGAAGGAAATGCATCAGGGCGCATGCGGAAATCATTTGAACGGACGAGCTCTAGCTCTCAAGATAAAGAACCACGAACACTTCTGCCCCACTATGCTCACTGACTGCGATAGATTCGTAGCCCGATGCGAACAATGCCAAAGGCACGCTCCAATGATTCACGCTTCGGCGGAACTGCTCGCTTCATCGTCTCCCCCTTATCCATTCATGCGATGGGCGATAGACATAGTCGGACCACTGCCTCGATCACGACAAAAAAGATTCATGCTCATCGTCACAGACTATTTTACAAAGTGGGTCGAGGCAGAATCCTATGCCAAGATCCACGCGATCGACGTCAAGAAATTCATCTGGAAGCAGATCATCTGCCGACATGGCCTCCCATACGAAATTGTCACAGACAACGGCTCCCAGTTCGTCTCTAACATCGTCGAAGATTTCTGTGCGAAGTGGAAAATCAGGCTCAGCAAATCAACGCCGAGGTACCCACAAGGTAACGGCCAGGCTGAGGCAACCAACAAAACGATCCTTGATGGAATCAAGAAAAGATTGGAAGCCAAAAAGGGTGTATGGACTGACGAGCTCGATGGAGTTCTCTGGTCACATCGAACTACACCACGACGATCTACAAACAAAATCCCTTCTCACTATCACACAGAATGGAAGCTTTAGCCCCAGCTGAAGTCGGGCTACCTAAAATCCGCCGAACGATGTTAACCCAAGATGTCAAAACAAATGGTGTTATGATAAAGAACAACCTCGACATGCTAGAGAGGAAGAGCGAGATCAAGCTCAAATACGAATGCAAAATTATCAACAACAGTCAGCTCGATACTACAATAAAAAGGTCAAGGGAAGACATTTCGAAACCGGTGACCTCGTTCTTCGCAAGGTATAGAATACCCAGGAAGAAGGAGCAGGGAAAACTGGGCGCAAACTGGGAAGATCCTTACCAAATAATAAAGGTTGTAAAACCCGGCGTTTACGAGCTCATGACCATGCGAGGCGAGGTCATACCTAGATCATGGAACGCTATGAATATCAAAAGGTACTACTACTAGGATTCAGTCAGGTCATATGCCGCAAAAAAAAGGACGCTCACCAAGCTCCGCTAGTCGAGCTACGCCTTGTAAATGTGAACTACAATCGGCTTGATCCCAGTATGTTGGGTACGTAGGCAACCTCTTTCGAGGTACAGCTAGTAATATAAATAAAAATCTTTTTATTTTTATTGTTTAAATCTTTTCTAATCCACCACATCGACATCGACATCCTAGCTAGATGTGCGATCTAAACACATGCACTCCCACTAGTGCAAATTCCTATAAGTCCTCTGAGAAACCAAAACCTCATGACTATACGAAATTTAGCCGGGCCCAGTCCCGCAATATCTCTTAGATCGACCGAGTAAAAACGCCAAACACATCTTCGCTACTCGGAAACGACCTAAGAGGCTAACAGGTGGGCCGAGCTAACACTTGCACCTACAACATATTAAACCGAGTCCTCACTCGTAAACAAAACAGGATAAGCCGAGAACCCACCTCGCACCTATAGCTTTATAGCCGAGTTTTGAACCTCGCATCTAAACCTTATCCACGCTTCATAACCAAGCAACAACAATCAGAATATTCAAAGATCAAAAAGTTTGTTCGAGCTAAACAAAGGCATTCCATTAAAACAAATCACAAACTGGCCCATCGGACTACATCGCAAGAGAAAAATTAAAACAATAAAGAGGCAAGGCCGAACTATGCTTGAAAAAATGAAAACGAGCTATTCCTCGAGCCGACCATCCCTTTTGACTTCAGGCTCATCGGTGTCTGAACCCATTCCAGGGGTCTCGGGATACGGAGGCGGCAGATCCCCGTCTTTGAGGTCTGTTAAAGTAAGAGCAGCGAGCTTCGCTTCGCACTCCTGCTTCGTCTGCTCGAGTTCGGCTCGCAACTCCTCCTCAGTCATCGCATCGTCGCCCTTCATAAGATCGAAGCACTCCAAAGTACCCCGAGCTTGGACGAGGTCAAACTTGACCGCATCAGCTGCGTCCCTCTCGGCGATGTGCATCCTCAGACGACCAATATGGCCCGAGAACCTCGCTTCGGCCTCCACCCATATTTTGTGGTCTCGGCATCGATTTTCTCCTTGGAATGATGCTGTGCGCGCGCAACCTCGGAGGCGATCAATTTTTCAGCCTTCAGCTTTGCCTCGTTCACGACCTGCAGATTGTTGATCAGATCCGCGTTCTCCAACTGCATTTCCTTGACCTTGTCGGTCAGCTATTTGATGCTCTCCTTGAGCTGAGTCGATCTTTTCTTCTCGACCTGCCAGTTCTCTATGGTGGTCTTCTTCGCAGCAAGAGCCGCGCCATGCTCAGCAATGGCCTGTTTGCCCGAGCTTTGAGCATTCTGCAGCTGCCTCGAGGCACTTCGAAGCAATCAGAGGTACTGACCTCGCGTTTTATTATAGCTCGCGATGAAATAAAAATCGAACGAAGATTTATTAGCGATTAAGACTATAAACCCGCAAAATGTATCGAGAAAATAAGAGATGAAGAGTAAACCTTGAAGGCTTAGCTCGTCATATCCTTAAAAACGGCGTCTTCGCCCGCGGGGACCCCCGAGGTAGAGCCCCTGATCATGCCGAACAACATGGCACATTTATCTTTGTTATTGACGAAGGGCTCGTCCCGGTTGTCGTAATCGAACTGGAAGCTCCAGTCAATCTCCTGGGTCAACTCGGCGCCGGTGGGACTAACCTTAGTTCTCTTGGAGACCTCCCCGCGAGTTACCTCCTCGCCCACGTTCGCCTCCGCTGCAACGTGCTTTTTCTTCCTATCCTGCGATCGAGGAGCCTCGACCCCGACCTCTTGTTCAGCAAGGCGAGAAGCCCCGACATCATTCTTCTTCTTCTTCTCTTTCTTCTTACCTCTCTTCATTGACCTAGCCGCAGACCTCACCGCCTCTGCGGTCACGTCATCAGTCTGTTGGGTCTCCTGTTGAACCTCGACCCTAGTCTCGACCTGATCGAGATTCTCGGTCTGACCTCCACTCTCGCCTTCATGGATTACCCCGCTATCGGGAAGGATCCCTCCTTCAGGTAGAGGAGCGAGCTCTTCATGTTGAGGAGCGAGCTCTTCCTCGCGTTGAAGAATGTTCCCCTCAAGCCTAGGTGCAGTTGCCTGACTCTCGGATCGAGACGCAGAGGCTCCTTGACTCACCACCGAACTCTTCTTCTTCCTGCCTCGAAGCCTCGCAGCCAAATTAGGAGCATTGACTTGAACTGGCCATCTCAATTGCTTCTCGGGTATAGTGATCAACTCTTCCCCAAGTCGCTAAAATCAGAACAGGTTTAGATATATATATAAAGGGAGAATAGATAAAGCGGAAGAGAAAGAATCGAGCTCACCGTTCACGATCCGAGTAATAGCAGCTCGAACTCTTTGGCTATGAACTTCAGGCCAGTGTTGAATCCCGAAAGATTGAAGCTTTGCGACGTCTGTCCAATAATTATCCGGGAAAGCACCGAAATTGATGTTCTGATCTGCAAGAAAGAAGTAATCAAGATATCAGAGACGGAGAATAAAAGTCAAAAAAAATGTCAATCGAGCTCGCTGTCTACCGATGCAACTGCTCCATTCATTCCTGAAATTCCGCGATGTATCAACTAGCGCGTCATTGACTTTAGCGAAAAAGAAGGTCAACTCCCATCTCTGTATCTTGTTGATAGGGTATACGAGCGAGCACCCTTTCCTGGCCTTGATCGTTTAAGTACCATGGATCGAGTTGTTCTTCTGAACCAGCGTCATCTCCTCGAAGAAACGCCAATCAAAGTTGACGCCAACCTCGATCCCGAACACAAGCGCTGCAATCATAAACCAGATTCCAGCCGGAAGAAGCTGAGTGAAAGCCACGCCTCGCCTGTCGACGTAATCAGTCAGAAGCCGAGGGAGAGGAACCCAGAGATGGCATTGACTGAACCATGCCTCGTACAGCGCAACCCAACCTTCGGGAGCTTGCCACGGGCGATCCCCAGGGCCCGGCGATCTCAATATCACGCCCGGAGAGAACCGATGGAGAGCTCGCATCTCGGCCAAGCGTTCGGGCGTCATCTGAGACTCGATCCTGAGCAGACGGTTCTCGATGTTCCCTTTCCGCTTGGAACCCTTCCTGCGAGTTCTGCCTTCAGCATCTTCTTCTTCTTCTTCTTCTCCCCCTCCTTCATCTCCTTCTTCCTCGCCCTCAACCTCGACATCATCACCATCACCATCATCACCGTCCCCTTTTTCCTTGCCTTGTTCTTCATCGCCTTCCGCAATTTGAGCATCGGCGTCGCTCTCACGCGTATCCCGGTTGGGCTCGTCTGAACCGTAATTTTGCGAAGACGCTCCCTGCTCGCGAATCCGAGCAGCGAGCTCGTTCGCGGGTGAAGCCTCGCGAGCCAATTGACTTTCAGACCTCGACGAAATAATTGGCGAGGAGCTAGAGCTCGCCGTAACGGTCTCTTCGGAACGCGACCCCGACTCCAAACTTGACTCGATTCTCGAGGCCATATTCGAGGTCTTTTCAACGGCCGTGAATTTCGACGATCAACGGAAACAAAATCGGAGACGACGGAGAAAACTGAATCTAGAGAGAGAAAGCAAGTGAAATTCTAGAGAGAGGTCACATAGAAGTTACCTTTTATCAGCAGGAGAAGAAAATGAGGAAAGCTGAGATCTTGGGCTTTTTATAGAAGGAAAAGCGACAGTTACCGAGGAAAATAATCATGACACGGATGCGTCCCTACAGAATAAGTGAAGACCGGATTTCACGCGCTTTAATCAATTCGAGCAAAGAGTCGCGTCTCTTCAATCTCTCGTTTGAAAGTCACGCGCGATTTTTCGGCTTCGCAGTTACCGACGAGGTTCGTTCATCCTCCGTCCATCTCTCATCTCGACAAAAGCGCCAGTTGAGGTTGAAGTCAAAACTAGACCGCGATCTTTCCAGAACCGCTGAACATCGATGCAACATCTCTATCAACGGACTCGGGGGGGGGGGAGGGGACAATTGTTGGATATGGGCTGAGCACAGCCCACTTTTGATGATTTAACCTTGGTCCGATAATTCTTCTTTGAGGCCCAAGCGACATCGAAGGCCCATCTTGGACGCCGAAACGAAACCGTTTTCGCATCGATATTTTATGATCCTTGTCATCAACTCGCCACCGCGATATTTCATAAAGAGGTCGAGCAGATAAACCTGACCGACCATTAAATTATCCTGCCCCGCTTTAACCTATAGTATAAATAGCCCTGTAAATTCATTTATTACCGCATCAAATTTTAACTGCAGAGCAATTAATACAAAAAATTCATAATTTTCTAAGTATTTATTCGACATCTACATCGCATAAATAACCTCGCTTATATCTTCTTTATCGAGCTAAAACTCATTAAACAAAGATCTCCAAGCTTTATCTCTCGATTACCATTTTACCTCCCTCGTGCTCATACGTTACTACAATAATCAGAATATATAAATTTCTTCTAGATTATCAGAATATATAAATTTCTTCTAGATTATTTGGTAATATCATGAAAACAAAAAATGACAAGGTTTTCTTTTTCAAATTTGACTGGGACCACAAGATGTTCTCAAGTTTGCTGAGAATTAGTCGCTTTTGAATTTTTGTTGACGAAATAAAAAAACCTTCATTTGATATGTTGAATGTGTTGATCACTATAAATCAAGTTATACTAAACTATTTGACTAGATGAGGTTATTTCAGTTTAATAGGAAAAAAAAAATTCAGTTATTTAACTAGAAATTCATTTATTACTTTTTTTTTATGGATAGCAATGTTTCACGGTTTTACAAGTCAAAATTATAATATTCACACAAAGATACATAAGTAGCCCCTTTATTTATTGGATAGTACTTTTCAACATTAATGGGGTCGGAACAAAAAGAGATGATATGATTCCAAAAGAGTAGTAAAAGAGGTTAGCATATGATTGGTACATTGCCGATACCAGTAGCCGCTGTACAGACAAAAAGATAGATTCTTAACTTATACCAGATTAAGTTTCCAATTCCGCAATGGGGTCCTTGTTACCACTAGATGAAGCAAGAGCATCCATAGTGTTGATCCATGCACCTTGAGCTTGACGTTTTGGAGGAGGCATTAAAGCCAGTCGCTCCGTTGGTGGAACTAGCCTACGGGGTTTTGAACATGATGTAGCAAAATGTCCTTTTCCGCCACACCGGAAACAGATCACCTCAGAGACTAACCTAGCAAACTTCTGACCACGACCTGGACAGTAGATATGTCCGTTTGATTTCTTAGCTTCATTTCTTCTCTGTTTCTTGGATTGCTTACGTCCTTGTGTTGCCAACTCTTTATGCTAACAATGCTGCTTCTACTTTCACTGCTTTCTCATACAATTCAAACAGTCTTGTGAAAGTACCTGCTACAAGTCTACTAGCAATTTCTGGATCTAACCCTCGTAGAAATTTCTGAACAACAGCTTCCTCATCATTTTGACCATAGAACACAAGCTGTCGTAGCCTAGTGAATTCTGCTTCATACTCCCACACATTCTTTTCTCCCTGCTCCAGTTCCATGAATTCCCGCTTTAGTTGATCCCGAGCTTCTGCTGGAAAGTATTTTCTTTCAAAGTAGTTTTGAAATGCCTCCCATGATTGTACGTCGTTCCCATACTGTCTTGCTATATCATTCCACCAAAACTCAGCATCCTCAACTAAGTAATGAACCGCAGTGTCCTTTTTGAACTCTTCTGGGCATTCAGTTACTTTAAAGTTCTTTTCAATGTTCCGAAGCCATGCATCCGCTTCAAACATGTTTGGTTCTCCCTTAAAATGTGTAGTTCCAAGTTCCTTCATCATCAGTACAAAACTCCGGAGACTTTGGGGTGAAGACGCTCTTTGGTTCTCTGGCTGCCTAGGCTGCTCAACTATCCCCTGTCTCTGAAGATAACTATTTTGTGATAGTTGTTCAAAATACATGTTCTGTTGATTATTCTGCTGATGATTCAGATACGATTACTGCAATCCCACAAACTTAGGTGTTAGATTCTATCTCTGAAGTGTAACCATAATATAAAAAAAGATAAGCCAATGTGTAGTAACGTCCTCTGAATCTGACTAGAAAAACTTCTAGAAAACCTTTGAAAAGCTTGTTAAGAGTGTGGAAAATTTTCAGGTAGCGTTTCTGGCCAAAATTTTCTTCCAAGCAAACTAAAATACCATTTGAAACCATTCCTATATTTAAAAAAAGGTATTCCGGTTAAACAGAGTTTCTTCTGTTTTTAGCCAACCATGGCCTCACCGTGTCTAGGTCTAAGAGACCATTATTAATTTTTGACACTGATTGAAACCAGTAAATTTTTTTTGAGATTTGAGCTGAAAAATTTTAAGAAGTCAAATCGGTTTGAAAAGATGGCGATCAACATCTCCCAATCAAAAAAAAAAAAACTTGAAACTCTTTTTAGAATCTTAGGATACCAGTGAGAAACCAAGAAACTCGGTTAAACTCAACATGCAAGGATGCAACTATAAAATTGTTTTATTGAACAAAAGAGACAGTTCTGACAAAATTTTGTTCCAAGCAAACTAAAATACGATTTGAAACCATTCCTATATTTGAAAACAGGTATTTCGGTTAAACAGAGTTTCTTCTGTTTTCGGCCAACCATGGCCTCACCGTGTCCTGATCTAGGTCTAAGAGACCATTATTAATTCTTGAAGCTGATTAAAACCAGTGAAACTTTAAGATCTGAGCTGAAAACTTTTGAGAAGTTAAATCGATAAAAAAAATCAAACCGTTTTGAAAAGATGGCGATCAACCACTTCCACTCAAAACAAAACTCCAAAACTCTTTCAAATCTTAAGAAACCAGTGAGAAGCCAAGAAACTCGGTTAAACTCAACATGCAACTAAAAAATCGTTTTATGGAACGAAAGAGACACAGTTTTGACAAAGTCTCAAAGAAAAGATGACTCACAATTGATCTAGAGAAATTTAATAAGAGATATATATAGGGTTCCGTAGATTTTTACGGTGGAGAGGAGTGTGTGTTTTTGGTGGTGAAATGATTTTATAGAGGAAAGAGAGCATTTGAGAAGGTTAGAGAGATGGTGGTCGTAAATGATGAGACAAAGTGACAAGTGTGTGTTGTGTTGTAAGACAACGCACTCTCTAGTTGACACGTCATAAACTTTTCTTTTTCTTTAGCTTTGGGACCAAGTTTCTGTAACTTTGTCACCAAATTTTGTTTTAGCTTACACATAAAATTTCTTTAGTTTAATGATTAAATTTTAACCCCAACCATTCATCCTTAAACTGAAACAAGAAAACAGGTTAAATTATATATAATAACTCACAAATTATGAGTAATTATATATATATTATATATATATATATACTATATAGCAGTATGAGACTTTTGATTTTATATAGAAAATAATAATAGCTAATAATTATTAATTTTTCTTTTTTAAGAAATATTTAACAATGATTGAGCTAAAAATTTAAATACATGGATTTTAGTTTTTGCTACAAATTAGAAGTTATTTGAAAAATTAATTTTTTTAACAAATAGAGAATTAAAAAAAACCAAAATATACTCTAAAAACTAAAAACTGTAAATATTCAACGCCTAATACCAAATAGGTCCATCTTTCACTACAAAAAAACATCATAATACATCATTTATTTTATTTATTTATATTATTTATAACTGATATAAAAAAATTTTACATCATTTAAAAAAATGATTCTGAAAGTGGTGATGCAAATACTTTATATCACTTCATTAATAACTGATGTAAATATTTTAAATATTTGCATCAATTAGAATAATTGATATCAATATATGTCAATTGTTTTAAGTGATATTAATTTTACATCAGTTATTATAAATTATATTAATATTTGTATCAATTATACATAATTGATGTTAAAAATGCTATTTTAGTATAAATTTTAATTTAATTTTAAAATTTATATAAAATCTATTTTGTTTTTTATTAATATAAATATATTTTGTGAACTCTCATATAATAATTAACTAGAATTATTATTAAAAATATAATTATGTCGAAGATTTTGGTTGAAGTTAATAAAATCTTTACGATTATTAACAATGATGAGTTTATTTTATAGAGAAGCAATTCTCTCCTCTCAAGTTCTCCTAACCGATGTAGGACAGATAAGTTTTGAGTCTTTTGACCAAATTAAATTAAATATATTAATTGTTTAATACAGTTCTTTGTTGACATCATTTTTTAATTGCTACAAAATTTACATTATTTTATTCAAGTGATGCTAATATATACATCAATTATCTAATGATGTAAAATTTGATTTTGTATCAATATTGTTCAAGTGATGTGATTTAAAATAAATTAGTATCAGTTTTATGCAATCGATGCCATATAAACTAATAATAACATCAATTGTATTAACTAATGTTAATACTGTATAATTTATGTCACTTGTAAATAAATGACTCCAATTAGTATCAATTATTTTTCTGATATAATTTATTTGATGCTATCAACACTTTTTTTTGTAGTGTCTTAATCAACAATCATATTATTTTGCCGATGCCAAGTAACTATAAGTAGATCAAGAAGACACTTTAATACTTTTTGGTTCCAAACCTTTTTTTTGTTAAAGAAAAATTTGCAGGCTTAAGGAATTGGTTCCAAACCTACAACGTGAAAAAAAGAAATTTCTTCTTCTTCTCCTACCGCGTTAATAATCTGCAACACAGTAATTCATATTATTGATGCCAAGCAGTGCCGGTCTAAGGTCATATGACAACTAAAATGCACCTAAAAAATAATGTTTTTAATCAGAACAAAAAATAATTTACGATATTTTTTGTAATGTATAATCAAAATAATGTAAATCTAATCATATTTGATGACTCTAAAATTTTTTGTTATAGTTGGTGCTTCAAGTCCTAGATTCATGAACTTTAATCCATGGCCAAGTAAGTACATAAGAAAACAATCAGATAGTTTTTGAGGTAGTTTTAAGACATTTCCCCATATTTTCTTCAATTCCCAGACTCAATAAAAAGCCCATTTACTAATTCTTCTTCCTGTTTTATAATTTACTATATATTTGACATTATCAAATCATTTACTTTTCATCGTCTCGGCACAAAAGTTAAACATATCTAGTTTGATGTTGACAAATCCTAATAATATTATTTGTTTAAACTTTAAAGTAGCAGATTTATCATATTCAACATCATGCATTTCATAAAGTTTTTTTTTTGTCAATTTGCTCCTATTAAAATACACTTTTGACTAACCTTTTCTAACACAATTGAGGCACAAGACTGATAACGCCCCAAAAGAATATTGGAAGAGCTTCCATCTAGGCATTAAGACGTGGATAGGTCGTGATCACATGTATAGGCACTCTCATTGCTGTGTTTATCATGTTTGTAGTTAGAAAATTTCAAGAGTTTTACGAATGCCCTTTCTTCCAATAATAAATGATTCATATTCGTCAATGGACCATAGGATGACATTCTCTCTCATACCTGACATCAGAGTGCTTAAACAGCCAAGCTCTGTAGTTTTCTTGCTCAGTAGTCCTGAGGAAAAAGCTGCAAATAACACACAAAAACGTATGCAACTGAGATAGCTAGAAAAATAAGTTAATTGCTTTGCTAATATGCAAACAATAATCTTATACCACATAAATTAGCTTAACAAACTCCATTACATTATTTATTTAATCGAAAATCATGCATACACCAGAAAACAAAACGACTATAAGTTTACTAACAAAAAATATTTTTAATTTGATGATAAAATGTTGATTATATGAAATAAGTGTGAATAAAGCCCAACTCAACCCATTTCTTAATCAACGATCAGCCCAACTCAACCCATTTCTTAATCAACGATCGTATCATTTTGCCCATGTAATAAAAAGACACTTTAGGCCTAGGCGTTTAGATATCCGTTCGAGTTTAATTCAGGTTTTTAAATTTTTGGTTAAGAGTTATAAAACGTATTCAGATAATTTAAAATTTGGTTCAGGTTTAGTTTGGTTCCATTAAAATTTGGTTTGGTTTCGAAATCCAAAAAATCATAAAATTAAAAGAAAAATTGGTTAAATATAAACAGAATTAGTTATAAAGTTTGTTTAAAAAAAAAACAATACCAACAATCAAGTAAATTATCATATTTTTATAAATTATTATGTATATATATTAATATAAATATATTTATAAAAATATTATGTCAAACAAAACTCGTGAGTATGAACGGATATAAACCTAGTATAAATAAAATTATTTAAATTTGAATAAAATTTGGTCAAAGCTTAACAATTTAGTTTTCTTTTTCTATTCGTTATGGCTGCTTATGTAACTCTATGGTGAGCTCAATTGATGAACCTTTGATTGGGCCTATGGATCTCTGTAGAAAAAAACCCATCGTCTTTGGCCACTAAACTGATCCACACCTTTGGCTCTCATCAAGACACTTTTGGTTCCAGAAAACTTATCTCCGAGGGTTTAACCGAGGCTTAGTAGAGAAAAAGACACTTTTAAGGTTACTTCATCTTCCTCCGTGCCTTTAACATCATTTCGTCTCTTCGTCTCCAACAAGTTAGGCGATGGATTATTCAAGCTCAGATCACAATACCTCAAATTTCTTGAAGGAAGATATCGATTTGATATGTTCACAGATTGAGGATCAAAAGGAGCGGATTAACCTCAAGAGAAGGTTCTTCTTCTTGTTTTCCCCTTCAAATTTGCATTAGAAGACTCGAGAAATTCATTCAAGATGCTCGAATGTTTTGGAATCAATCTCTCTGTCTTTTTGATGTCTTTGGTAGGTTCCTGTTGGGTCTTGATATGCCTAAATCTGAGAATCATACTGAGTTTAAGGAATGCGCGTGAGTTTTTTTCTTCTTCTATTTGTTATTGCTGCTTATGTGACTCTATGTTGAGCTCACTTTGTGTGTGTGTTTTTTCGACAGATTCCTCCCTGAATCTTTGCTTAGGAAAGATGATGTAAAGTCTCTCTCACACTCTTCACAGTCTCTCACGAACCTCTTATTGCGTTTTCACTCTGTTGCTTTTTCCTCAGATCATCTACGAGACTTTGAAGTCTCGTGTAGAAGAAGCATTTGGGTTTCGCAAAGAAGGAGATGTTAGCAACTCTGTTCAACAAAAGGAGACAGAGCTGAGCACTAAAGACGTTGTTGCAAAGCTCGACATGTTTCTTGATTCTCTGACGAACATTGGTCTACGTCACGTTGCAACAATAGTCACAGGAGGCTCTACTACTTCTTTTGAGGAGACTCCAGCTAAAATGAAAAAAGTGATCAAAGAATGGATCAAGAGTGGTTACAGAAAGAGAAAACACGATACAGGAAATGCAGACATTGTTAGGCAGGTGAGCCAAGTTCTTAGTGATCTCAGGAATTACCGGGAAGATTGCAGGATGGATCCGGCACCACCCACGTTTCAGTCTCATGTTGATGCTGTAATGAAGACACTTAATGAGCTAGAGCAATTGTCGACTCAGGCTCTAAAAGCAATGACAAGGAAACTCGAAGGCTCAAGAGAGATACCTCGGTTAGGTACAAGTTACCGTCATCTGAAAAGAAGTGATCTTATCAAAAAAGTGAGGAAAGCTAGCGAGAAGATGCTTTCTGGATTGTATGCAGGGGATAAATTGCCGGAGCCATTGGCTAAGGCCATGTCTTTAGTTGATTTATCACTTAAGTTAAGCTCTGGCTACAAAACTGCCGCTGCTACAGAGTTTTGGCATTTCTCACCAGAAACTAAGAACCTGCAGGAGGAGATAGTGAAGGCAGTCTGGTTAATCGGTTATGATGACAAAGATAAAGATGTAGAAGTGGTCAAGATTGAAGAGCTGGAAAGAATGTGTCTTATCTTAGACCAAGAACACAAACTATCAAAGAGGAAGTTAAGATCAGCTGTGAAAAAATTGTTGACTGAATATCTGTTTGAGTGCGGTGATATGGATATCATTCCACAGTCTTTAAAAGAAGCTCTTTCATTGGTCAACGATGTTAAGCGGGATGTCTTGTGTCCAAGGGAAGCAGTTGAGGAAGAGATCGAGTCAATATTAAACGTGAGTGCTCAGCTGAAGCAGATATTTTGGGAATGTTCTCCAGATTATGAACTTGATCAGGACTTTGGTAATGCGTATATGGAGGAGCTAGAAGATAGTGAAGAAGATGATGATGACACTCAAGACGATGCAATGGATTCAACTTGTGCGGATGATAAAGAAGGTGGCGCAGAATGCTCAGTTTTTGATCTGGGTGCTTCTTCATACACAGTTAACCAGCGTCGTATCAGTACTTCTGTCGTTGTAAGAGACCTTGCAGAGAGTAGTGCAAGAGTTCAGCCTAGGTCTCTCTCTGTCACACCCACGTCCAATAAATCAACAAGTATCAGTTATGGACATGACATAGGTACGAGCAAGCGTGATGTTCAGTCTAGCGCTCGTTCATTGTATTCTGTTGAAAACATACAGAGTGATGATGATGCTGAGCATAGTACACTCAAAAGAAACAGAAAAAACCAGTACCTCGCAGTCCAAAAAATTTGTGATGATACAAGCTTGTTTGCATATAACCTAATCGGCCGCGTAGTAGAGAAAATTGCTGATCGAGAAGGCATAGAGTTAAAAGCGGATCAACGTTCATATCTTGCAGGCAAATCAAGGCTTCAAGAAAATGTAGAAGGTGAGGATTAGAAAAAAAAAAACGCCTTGTTCCTCGTACTGTCTTCATATCATTACTGAAACTTTGCTTGTGTTGCAGTGAGTGAACAAAACCAAGCTTCATCGTCGCATGGGAGGTCGGATGAGTCGATCTTTGTTTCTGCTGTCAAAGAGCTAATGCCTTCCCTTGATGAGAGGTATACATTTGTTTTCGTTTTTGGTATGAATTTTCATGTTTGCCTGTTAAGCTGAAGCTCTAATCACTGAAAATCTGTTGTCAACAGTGTTTTGTTGAAATTAAAAGAGTTGATGGAAGGGAGCAAGGATCAGCAAAGTTGAAATCGAAAGTGGAGCAGCAATGTATTGGAGAAAGAAATTGATTATGACTATTATTAAAGTTTAGTATCATTTTTTCGAAATAGAAGTGTAAATCATTCAAAGATTCACTCTTTCTCTGATGAAAGCTGCTTAGCGAGTAGGAGAAGTCCAACGGTTGTAAAGCCTGACAAGACGGTCGACGCATAAAACAGAGCTAGAATAGATCCTCTCAGAGACTGCCCATAAGAACAAAAACACATGACAAAACGTCAGATTTAAAAAACCCTCTAAACAACATACACCAACCGTTATAGATCAACCAACCTTTGCGAGTAGCAATGCATTGTCATTTGCATACTGCAATGAGCTCTCTGGTATGTTTTGGATCCCCTGACTGATTTGCCATGAAAGTATCCTGTTTGATCCAAGTATGAACAGATGTTGCTAAAAGTGTGATACAAAGTTCTCAAAACTAATAACCATAAATACCCAAAGACAAACGCAATGGCAGCTCCGGCGTACGCTTTCTCTGGACTCACAGCAACCTGAAGCTCCCCAAACTACAGTTCAAACAAAAACAGAACAGTTCTCATCCGCAAAGCAGCTTCAGTGAAAGTACAAGAGAAACCATATATTATGCTTTACCTTAAACATCCTTGTTTGCGACTTAGATTCATTACTCAATGAAGCAGACGATGTACTTGCAGATAGAACCTCTCCAGTTGTAATCATCGCTTCAGCTATCTGCGAGTTCTCAGCAACGTTAGTTTAATAATGGATAGTACAGACCAATAATGGATTGTATTACTGTGGCTGTTTAAGTCTTACAAGGTAGACTAACATAATCAAACAATCAGTAGAGGAAACCACACCTACATTTCAGGTACCTTCTGTAAGTCACCTTGACCATACTGTCCCATGCCTTTGAACCTTTTTCCCGCAGATATCAGACGCCTCCCAAAGGCTGAACAAATAAGAGGTAAATAGATACTCTTATTTGAAACACGAGCACAGATATAGAAAGATGCGTAACCACATACTCTATAGAGCTACTTCTTGTTACCTGATCTGGCACCATCTGTTAATGACATTTCCAGTTCAGGAAGTTTCTCCACTAAACTACGAGAAGTTGATGTGTCAGCTTGCTCCCAAGCACGGGACAGTTTCAGTAAGGTCTGCCCAAGCTCTTGACCACACTACAAATTTAGAGGTTGCAATTATATAAGTACCCAAAAGTTTAAGTCAGTCAGGCAATGAGGTGGGCTTTTATAAAACACAACAAAGACTCAGGAACCTCTCATCCTCAAATCGCAAAAAAGACAAACCAAGTTCTAGCAGTAGGAAGAGAAAACAGGAACAAGGAAGCTAAGTCAAAAGAGATATTAGTCAACTGACAATAGAGGGAAGAAGACATTCTTCTCGAAGTTGCAAAGAGTCTTAAGAGAAGTTCATTTAGTAGAGATTATTGGAGCAGAAGTATGAAGCCACAGATGACAGCAGTGATAGAAGAGAAGATCCAATATGTCTTACATGAGATGCACAGTTTCTACTTTCTAAAGGAATACAGACTTGTGTCTTTAGCTATATATTCTTCTGCAAATTTCTATCATTAGTTGCTAGTACAAACCAGTAAAGCGTAAATACATGAGAGATCCCAGAGATGAAGTAACTGTTCTTGAACCCAGTACTAAGATAATCTCCTCCCCTCGAAAAATATGAATAAGTTCACAGAATTTGAGCTTATAGTGTTGATTTGGTGGTCAATGGAAGTGATTACTTAGCACTAAAAAAATTCAGTTTATGTGGGCAAAGAGATACTAACCTCATCGATGATGGGTCCATTGGAGAGATCAAAAGCAGCATCATTTAACTGGAGAGAGAAAAACCCAAAATCAACACTAAGTTTGAAACTTTGAGGAAGCTAATTAGGGCTTACATCGAGTCGAAGATCACTCGGTAGCTGCTGGAAGTAATCTGATGGAAGATCGAAACATTTCTGCAACACAACAAATTTCAATTCTGTGAAAAAGGATTCGTTCAAATAAGAGTTTTTTTTTTTTTGCACTTACAGAGAGTTGTAGGAGAAGAGATTTCGAGCTTGTTTCTAGAGGTTGAGGAGAATCTGATTCCGCAAGAGCAAATGGGAGAGTCAAAGGTTTTGAAAGGTTGCGCCTTTTCGAGAGTAGAAGAGGTTTTGGGGAAGATGAGCAATGATGAATCAAACGAAAACTTCGGTGCTGAGAAAAGAAGTGAGTGGCAGAGAGACTGTAGAGAGGTTGGAGAAGAAGAAGAGAATCCATCTTTTTCGGTGTTTCAGTTGCAAAGCAACATGGATACACAATTTTGATTTTATGGACAGAATCGCTTTACAAATTCAAAATTAAAATTAAATAAGTAAATAAATCATTAGCGAATTGTTATTACAAAAGTATTAAAAAAATTAGTATAAAAAATCATATATAAGCAAAATAAAAAGGCTCTCTCATTGAATTCGCTAATTACCCTTTACCCCTGTTTAAAATTATTTTTAATTTAAAAATAAAACAAAAAATTATCTACAACTAAAATCACTATTATATATAAGTTGTAATAATATTAAATCAAATCAAAATACATAATTTTATCTCAATCTGATCGAAATCTACGATTTTATCAAATTAAAAATCACGATTTTACAATTAAAATCACGATTTTTTAAAACAAAAATAATAAACGAAAATCATCATATATAATTATGTTACTCCATAAATCTTTAAGTAAATCTTACTTAATAGATACTTAGATATTGTTTTCTTTTAAAAAAAAAAATATTTATATGAATTATAAAAAACATTAAAAAATAAAAATCATCATATATAGTTATGTTACTCCCTTAATCTTTAAGTAAGTCTTGATAAATACTTAGATATTGTTTTTTAATAAAAAAATATATATGAATTATCCGATTTGCATAAATTTTAAAGATTTTTTAACCAATTTTTTTTCTTCACTTACACAGTTGTAATATTTGGCGATCATGTAAGCTATATATTTCGTGTGTTTTACATTAGTGATCTTGAGACTTCTTAAAAAATAATTTTTGTGCTGTTTAATTTTCTATTCGGTTGTTATTTTTGTTTTATATTCATGTAGATCTACCATTTTTTATATATGTTAGGTGATACCTTGTGTCTTCCCTTTTATAGCTCTTCAGGAATATATTTTGTTCTGATGTATATTAGAAGTTGGTAACTATTTATATTTTATAAATTCTTCTTATTAATAATAACGTTTGATGTTTGTTTTTTCTGTTTAGGATGTGGTGTTTTAGCCGGACTTTCTTGATCGTTGATTGTTTAGTTTACTGCTATACCGAAGGGTAATATTTTATTTTCTTTTTTGTGCTTTAAGTTTAGATTTGTGATTTTTTTTATTATCTATCATATTTATGTTTTATATATTAGCCAGTTTTGGTGCACTTTTCTTTCTCTTTTATTAGTTGGGGCTGAGTCGAGCCTTTTTAATTTATTGATTCTTATCTGTTTTAAGTTTTAATTGTTTTTGTTTTTTCTTTCTTAGGTGTTTGGTTTTATTGTTTCATCTTGCGATGCAACAGATTTCATTTGCTGGTGATGAAGATCTAGATTATGGTCATGAACCGAACCAGTTCTCGGAGTCAGATAAGAGCGTTTTATATATTTTAAAAAATTATTACAAAAAGATCATGTATTTTGTTTTGTGGTGTAGGCTCTTGGTGACGATTCAGAATGGTCTAATAGGACATACGGTGTCGAAATCTCTCATGGTAATGAACGTGAGTTCACCTATTTCTTGTGAAGGTTGCCAAGCTGATTGAACTTTTGGAAGGTACATGAACACATACAAAAACACAGGTTTAATCATCTGTTTTAAGTTTTGATTGTTTTTGTTTTTTCTTTCTTAGGTGCTCGCGTTTTATTGTTTCATCTTGCGATGCAACAGATTTCATTTGCTGGTGATGAAGATCTAGATTATGGTCATGAACCGAACCAGTTCTCGGAGTCAGATATTAGCGTTTTATATGTTTTAAAAAATTATTACAAAAAGATCATGTATTCTGTTTTGTGGTGTAGGCTCTTGGTGACGATTCAGAATGGTCTATAGGACATACGGTGTCGAAATTCCTCATGGCAATGAACGTGAGTTCACCTGGTTCTTGTGAAGATTGCCAAGCTGATTGAACTTTTGGAAGGTACATGAAACTTTAAAAGAACACATACAAAAACACAGGTTTAATCATCTGATTATGGATTATTACTTGATCTGATGAATCCTTAATTTATAACAGTTCAAAAGAAGCTTCGGTGAACGAGGTGCAGAACATGGTGGTCTGTGTTTTATCCAAGACCCCACCTGTCGCTGCCGAGAACAAAAGAAAACAAGCTAACAAGGAGTTTAGTTCCAGCAAAAATGTTAGTCCACTTGGCATATTCTTACTCTCAAAGTTAGTTCTATTGATAATAATGATGACACATGAACAAAATTACTATTTTTTATTCGAACATCACTTTATTTGAATGGGCTTTGTGTGTGTTGTCACTTATGTCCAGTATTAGAAATTTTCTGATATTGGTTTCTGGTTCCTTTATTTTACTTATGGGCAGAGACAGGAGAAAAATGTAACTATTTGTACTTTGATCTTTTGCACATTTCTCCGACTGAAATCTTTTTCGTGTGGAGTGCTTTCATCTCATGTGTTTCCGGTTGAGTTTGAACTGTTAATTATAAAATGTTGTTTTTGGATCAGAGTAAAGCTTCTCTTGCTTAAGTTTCACAAAAGATGTAAAATTGTTTAAGTAGCTAAAACTCTAAGTTTTCTTAAGTTTGTATGTTGGAAGGATTCAATTCCATCTAATTTTGTATTTTCTTTATTTTTAAAAATTATTTAATAGGGTAACAAATAAATATTCTAGCACAACAGTGTGAAAGAAATCGATGATAAATTATATACAAAATTCTGCAAATCTTGGCACCGTGAAAATGTCACAACCTTTTTGTGGAGACTCCATTTTACTTAAAGTCTTATTTTGATATTTGTTATAATTTTTGATATTTTTGTTTTTAGCATAATTAAGAAATTTTGAGAATTTTTTTTTTGGTATATATGTTTAAGCTATTTTTTAAAGTTGATTACCCAAAAACAGTTTTGATTGTTCGAAAGGAGCAAGCTACAAAATTTAATGCAGCTTTCTTATCTAACAATAAATATAACACAATTTTAAAGAGAGTTTTAAGTTTGAAATGTGTATTTATCTTTTTTCGCAGCCTCAAAAGATATAGAGTCATAAAAAATATGAAGAGTACGTAATATGAAAAAAAATCATAAGGAGAAGAAGAATAAACCGTAAAAACAAAAAAGAAGAAGAAGATGAATGTGTTAAATAATAAAAAAAGATGTAATGATAAATTTGAATAAGAAATATGAGAAGAAGAAAAAAAATGAAGAATAACACATGAAAAAAACAAGAAAAAATATGGACAGAAGAAGAATAAGGAAAAAAACGATGAAGAAGAAAGAAAAAAAAATAATAAAGAGGAAAAAATAGGAAACGAAAAACTAGAATTTATTTTAATTAAATTAGTTTGTGGATTATTCAGTTATGAAGTATTTTTAAAGTAATTAATTTTGAAAATTGTTTACTTTTTTAGTTAACTTTATTTTGATTTTTTTTATGTCTTAAATAGTTGTTTTAATTATTTTTAATTTATAACATAAATTTTTATTTTTGTTTTTAAAACTTTTTGGTCCGCGCAAGTCGCGGACTAAATACCTAGTAAAGTAATAAAGCAATGGTCCAAATGTTTATAGAGCTCAAAAACAGAGCACGATGAAAGAACAGAGTAATGTCCAAAAGCAAAAAATAAAAGAGACCTTTTTATAACCTAATTATTTGGATAAGATCATTGTCAAAGGTTGTAGAAAAATCCACATCCGGTAAATGTGGACTGAGAAGTTGATTTGCTTGATTACATTTACCTTGCCGAGAATAATACAGATACATTACAGAAGAGAGCATGTAAGAAACTCAAAAACATTTTTTACAAAAAAAAAAAAAGAAACTCAAAAACACAGCACGTAGTCTAAAACAAATTCAAGATAAATATCAATTCTAATAAACTGTAATTTCAGGCATATAACAAATGTAGCTTGCTGGAGACTAAAACAATACAGTAAAACAACATGCATCATCCTACGAAATAGAAGAAGCATTTTAAAATCCACAGTTTTTGTTTTTGTTTTTGTTTTGTTTTTTCACCTCCAAGAGGAACCACCAAGCTTGATGACCTCTTCTGAGCTTGAATCCCTCCTTGTTCCAAATCCTTCATCTCCTTTCTGATTACTCGCGTCTCCATATAAATCTTTGAGCTTCGCAAGATTGCTGTTCACAGTCACAGCTGATTTCTCCCTGTTGCTATTATCTCTTTTAGGAGTCGGTTCACGCTCAATTTGCAAACTCCTGCTCCTACTTCTGCTTCTGCTCCTGCTCCTTCGGTCATGTCTGCTTCTATCATCCTCATAATCATTGCGTCTGCTTCTACTTTCATAGTCTCGCCTCGATCTCCTATCATTACCATAATCCCTCTCCCTTTCTCTGTATCTATCTCTGTCCCTCTCCCTCTCTCTGTCTCTGTCTCTCTCTCTGTCCCTCTCCCTCTCTCTGTCTCTGTCTCTGTCCCTCTCCCGATGTCTGTCTGAGTCTCTGTCATAGTCTCGGATCTGGCTCCTACGTGGGGACCGCTGTTGTAGTTCATCGCCTCCATTACTGTCATAACCAGAAGGTGGAGGGCGGCGAACAGGAGAGGAGCCTCTGGTGGAAGCACGGTGAGGTGCACGCTGACCAAATGAAACAGAGAGTGATGCTTTTACTGATGGTGGACGACGGGCAGTGTCGTCAGAGCCACGAGTCATGTCTCCAGTTGAACCAGAAGGTTTAGTTGGCAGATTCATCTTCTCAAGGTTTGATACAATCTGGCGCATGACGGGAACAGGAATACGTGGAAACAAAGTATCAAAGTAATACTGCAAAAACCAACAAAGTCAGTCAGATTCAGGAATTAGCATCACGGAGACATGAAAACATCAGATTGCACAATTTATGACTCACCAGTCCAAGTAGCAAATCACGTACGTATACACCCATTGTCGTCATCCGTCCATTTGATCCTGGTGCAAATTCCTGAAGCAAAATAAATACATTTATTCAATTATTCATGTAAAGCAGTATACAGAGCAATGCAGAGCCATGTTCAAACAAGTTGGGGCGTGTATAATGATAACAACACGAACCCACAACAACGAATTTGTAAGCAGTTGGCCACAGGAACTTCCAGACAGAGACAGTACACCCGAAGAGCTGATAATTGAGATGCGCTATAACTGTAGCCAGAGGTCACAAACATAATCTATTCGATGGTTCCAAACTCTGTTGTGAGATAACCTCATTTAAAATACTGTACTACGAAAAGCTTTTAAATTAAACATATTGAGGACCTAAAGAAAAACACGATGGACTGACAGTGACACAATAACTTTAATGAACCCATATGTATGAATAGGCGATCGTGTTAAAAAAAAAAATGCTTACCTCATCATCTTTAATGTACGGTTCATACCATGTCCACAACGTCTTTGCATCTGCAACATATCTCAAATATAGGAATCCAACCTGCACATTTAGTCCCCTCGGGTCAGATCAAGAGTAATGAACATAGAAAAACAGATCAGACAAGTTGTTATACCATGGAATATAACATGGAAAAATGCAAAGCAAAACAAAGTAGCAAGAAACTGGAGAAACATCGACATAAAACGCAAGAAAGCACAGTTTATCTCATTAAAACGAAAAAAAAAAAAATCTTCACATAGATCCTAGAACTCTAATCGGAACACTGGTGCCAAACTAAGAGTGAAGTATCCTAGACAGATTATTGTCACCGTCGCCAGTTTCTATACTGTTAAATGGGCAGAAAGATGATCCTAGAGAGATAGAGTAGCTAAAATAGAAAAGACACCTCAAACCTTGATTTGCAGATACTGCTAGCAAAGAAAGGTCTTATTTATATTGGTGGGTGAAACTCTCAGCAACTCAAAAGAAAGAATGACATCCCAACTTTGTTTGTGGTTGTGGAAATCTGTTATGAAAACACGAGAACAATTATGCATACGTCCACACCTTCAATACGGGATGAGAAAAGAATAGATTCAGATGGAACCCAGAGGTAAGGAATGCTATTACCTGACTGTCAGAGATTCTCTAATTATTCCCCAAACAAAGGAAACACCTACGTTTTCCGAGTTAACATTGACTAACAAGAAACAACGAAGCCGATATCCAGTAACAGGAAGAACAGATATTGGAACAAACAGCACACAAGGCTAGATAAATATGCAAATGCGTGTCTATGTGCATGTCATGCAGTTCTAAATAAAAATTAAGATTGTTGCACCAAATTTGTTTTAATCAAACAGGCTATCAGATGGTGCCCGAAGGCGCTCCTAGCAACTATATCTTCTAGGTCAATAATGCAAGAAGATGGTTAAAAGAAAGATTAACTCACTGCTCTAATATAAGGAGAATCTGTGTGCTTCAACAGCCCATGCATCTGTTTCACTGTAAGTTTCATGGTAAAGAACTTGTAGAGGAGACAATACGCTGTCGAAGGACCACGGCAGTTTCCACCCATCCATGGCTCCACATGATTAACTTGGTTGTAGATTTCATCAATGACCTCATGATAAGTCTTTAAACCATATAGTTCTTTGAAATAGTCAGAAGAAAGAATGTTCATGGAAAGAACCTTTTCCAATAGCGACTCGTATGCTCTTCCATTTGTCTGTATCTCTGCCATGTTTTCTCTATCAAAAATGCTCAGAGATACAGTAAAAGCCTACGAGCCCCAAAAAAAACCTGAAAACAGAAATTCAACAAACACGTTAATAAAAAACAACAAGCAGCTAAAAGCTAAGAATTAAAAGCAATACAGATACATAGAGAATCAAGAACAAATCCTAGATTCATCTGAAACCCTAGAAATGGCCTATATACCGTAAAGGATCTCAATTTCGCCAAACCCAGAAAAGAAAAAGTGAAAATTCGATACCGATTTCTGACGGAACTTGCAAAATCATAATCGATTAGAAGAAACAAATCGGATTTGTGTTAAATCAATTCCTAATAGCAATCGAACTTAAATTTCGAAATGCTATCAATAGATCATAAGGAGTAAAAGAGAAAGAAACAAAAAACCTGAAATCTGACGAACTGTGATGGAGATTATTAGGTTTCAAACTCGAAGAGACAGAGAAGAACAGAAAAAAGCCCTAGAAACGGCGATCTCGAATCAGACTTTCGGATAGGAGCTGCCTCCACATTAAATTAAGTTGTTTTCAAATAAGTCCTCATATTATTATATATTTTCGAATTTAGTCCCAGTTATTAAAGAATATTTTTTCCAAGAACACCAGAGTTTTTTTTTTTTTTTTTTTTTTTTTTTTCTACATCAACTCATATTCCCCAAAAGCAATTACACCAAATGTTTGTCTTTTTTCAATACACCATTTTAACCACTCCGGCGTACTAGAATACAACTTAGGATCACAATTCTAAAAAGAAAGAGATTCATACGCTATCCTATCAGCCACATTGTTACCTTCTCTAGAGTTGAATGCCAATTTGAAATGAGCTTACGTCATAATATCTGCTTAATATCCTGATAAACCGAGCTTAAGATAGGCCAAGCATCTTCCTCAACAAGGGCATCTATCATTAACACTTTTGAATCGGATTCGAACATGATGTGTTGATAGCTAAAATTTGCACAACAAAGCATAGCCCACCTTAAAGCCTCTGCTTCGGTTTCCAAAGCAGACCTCAAATGTGGCAGAACTCTTGCACCAATCCAAAGATCCTTACCATTTTCATCACGAAGAATCCAGCCTAATCCACTATTTTGATCATGACAGCTCTAAGCCCCATCCACATTACACTTAAGCCATGCCAAAGGTGGAGGAGACCACCTCATATTCTTAGAGATCTGTCTAGGAGGATTCTTACTTTGATGCACTTTCTCCAGCTTGCTAGTCCACTCATCTGCATCTTGTCTCGCTTTGGTGATCGTAGTGTGTGTGATGAGGGCATAGAAGCACAAGCTCCACCTATACCAGCCGTGAGACAAGGGCCAAGAACAAGATCCGGAACTAGAGTCTTGAGAAAGGAGTTTAATCAAGCTATTGAAGCCTTACTTAGCATCCACAAGCAAGAAGACTCTTTGTACCCAAGCTTTAAGGCCACGGTCCAAGAAAGAAGCCTGGAGGAGCCTAATAAAGAAGAAGCTTACCTGATACAAGACGGCCCAACAACTGAATTGCCACTTCTCCGACCCAACAAAGAAGTGTCCTTGTTCAGCATCAGCATCATACCAACTTAAGATCATCTCAGCCGTCCAACCCACCAAGGTAAGAGAATGAATATGTTTATTTACTTGCCTAATATGGATTTTCTGTCTTTGGTTTGTTTTACAGGTTTTATTCATAGTTTTAAGCTTTAAAAGTATTTCTTAATATCTTTTAGTTATTGCACGAGTCTGTATTTTTTCCTTAGAGTCCCAGAAGTTGTGTCCTTATTATGTAATTTGCTTCAAGTCCCCAAGAAGGGAAAAGCTGCATTGGACTCTCTTATAAAGTCCCTTATAAGCAGCCGTGTATCTTTTACCCTACTATGAATAAAATAACGCAGTTCTTTCAAGCTTTGTCTTGTCTTTGAATTCTCTGAATTCGCTTAAGAGTTGGTGTTTGATCCTCCTCTTGAGAGTTGGTGTTTGATCCATCTCTCGCCGGTCTTATCAAGGTTCAGTCCATAGAGCTTTGTGGCGACCCTCATTCCACCGTTTGCATCATCGTCGTTTCATCCCTTGACTCAATCAGAGAGAGTTACACAACCAACTGATCGAGTTCCATCCTCTTTTCACATCAACTTCCATACCTTATTCTTGTTGAGAGAGTTACACAACCAGCAACAAGGATCCATCCCCATCTATAGGCCCGTGCCTATATCATCTGGTATCAGAGCCGAAAGGTTCCAAAACCAGGTTTTATCTTTTCATACCTTTCGGTTAAATCTCCTTTGCATCTTTGTTTTCTTGTCGCACACTTATTCAAAAAAAAAAAAGGAGTTCTATTCGGTTGCATACATCACATATCACCTTGAGCAGTCACCTATATACCTAGAATCATTCTCCTTAGCATCATTCATAGCATCGACTAGTTGCGGCTCATTGTTAGAACGAAAATTTTGTCAAAAAAGCCCTAGTTAGCCAGAAAAGGAAAGTTTTCATAATCACGTACAAAAAAAAAGGAAAGAGTTTACATTTCTTTAACATTGCACCGTCGTTTTTATTGCATTAAAAAAAAAAGAAAAGGAAAGAACCAAAACAACATTTAGTCGAATTTCTATTTCTCTTTGCACTTGATCTTTGTTTGCTCTTGAACGTAGACACCAATCATGGGAGACAATGCCGCACCTCTACCAGAAGTCATGCAGCAACTACTTGACTGTATGAGGAATCTGAGCGACCGTCTTAACTTGATGGAACAACGGTTGCCACCACCAGCCCAACCCAACAACAATGGGAACCAACCAAGGCAACAACATGACCACGATGGAGAAGAGACTGATGATGACATGCCTAATCTCGAAGATGAACTCCCACCTGACCCAAATCACCGGCGTGGCAGACGGGATAACCATGGCCAAGGCCAGCATCAGCGCCGTGAAAGAGGGAGGAGCCGAGAGAGAGATAGAGAAGACGAGAGACATGGGGGCAAAGATCTTAAACTTACACCACCTACCTTTGCTGGAAAGGTCAACCCCGAGGCTTACCTGGATTGGGAAAGAAGAATGGATCATATCTTTGATTACTACCAATATTCCGAAGCCAAGAAGGTGTCTCTAGCCGTCGCACAACTGACCGACAATGCTCTCACATGGTGGGACCGAGAAGTCTCAGAAAGACGGAGGCTAAGACGTGGCCAGATCACCACCTGGGAGGACATGACATTCCACCTAAGGAAGAGGTATGTGCCCGCTTATTACTTTAAAGACTTACAGAAACGTTTTCGGAAGTTGTCTCAGGGAAACAGGCCCGTAGAAGAGTACTACGAGGAGTTTGAGACCATCAGAAATCGATTGGAGCTTCAAGACTCGGAGGAGACATTGATGGCCCAATTCGTTGATGGCCTCCAAGATAGAATAGCGAGAAAAGTAGAGTGGCAGAGCCGAGCACATGGAGGATCTACTGCACTTTGCTATACAAGCCGAGCAGCATTTCAAGAAGAAAGCAGCCACTAACCGAGGAAAGTCTACTTGGACCCAACCCTTCTCTAAACCGATGGACAAAGGCAAATCTATATAAGTGGAAAATCGATTCAAGAAACCAACTTCCGGGCCATCAAAGCCGGCTCCACATGAGCAAGGTAAGTTTCCTAATCAAAGGTCTCGAGATATAACATGCTTTAAGTGTCAGGGAAAAGGCCACTTTGCAAAAGAATGCCCAAATCAAAGGGTAATGATATTGAGAGACAATGGAGAGTATGAGTCACAAGATGAGGCCGAGCTAGAAGCCACTGACTCAGAAGAAGAGGTCACCGATTTCCCTGAGGTTGGAGAGATGTTGGTAATCAGGAGATCTCTTGGTGCTCTAAGTGACCCCGAGACACTCCAAAGAGAAAACATCTTTCATACAAGATGTAGCATTGGAAACAAGGTATGTAGTCTCATTATAGATGGTGACTCTTGTACTAACGGGGCTAGCAAATATCTTGTAGACAAGTTAGGTCTTGAAAAGACAAAGCACCCAAGCCCATACCTATTAAGATGGCTCAATGATACCACGGAGGTGAGGATTGCGGAGCAAGTTGTTGTGCCATTCAGCATTGGAAAGTATAGTGATCAAGTCACGTGTGATGTTGTACCCATGCAAGCCGGTCACCTGCTCCTTGGGAGGCCATGGAAATTTGACAAAGAAACCGTACACAATGGTCGCACTAACTAGTACTCTTTCACTCACAACAACAAGAAGCACAACTTAGCCCCTCTCACACCATCAGAAGTTCATGAAATGCAACAGGCCATGAACAAAGGGAAACAGCTAAGTAAAACTAATCTATTTGTCTCACCAAATACAATTCTTAAAACTCTTGATCATAAACAACCGGTATTACTTATGATCTTTAGAGAAAGTCTGTTTTCAGGTAATGAAGAAGGTCAAGAGCTCCCACACGAGGTGAATCAGCTATTGGATAAGTTCCAAGATGTCTTTCCGGAGGAGATACCAGCCGGCCTTCCCCCCATAAGAGGCATTGAGCACCAGATCGATCTAGTACCCGGAGCACCCTTGCCTAACCGAGC